GAGAAAGGGCCCTGCAGGCAGGAGGGCTCTGTCCTCAGTGGTGACTGGCCTGTTTGGTAAGGGCTGGGGCAGGAGCACCCCATCTTGGTAAGAAGCTGATCAGGGCTGGAGAAGGGGTCAGAGAGGAAGAGTTGTCCTATCTACATGCCTGTGCCCCACCTGCATGTGAGCCAAAGTGTACCCAAGTGCTACGGGGGACACCTGGGTCTGTGGTCAGGCACGAAGGGACCTCCCCTTTGATCTCTGTTTTTTTCAACGAAAGCCTCTAGAGGCAAGAGCAGAAAGCAGAGAGCAGCACCACAACTTCCAGGAGCCATGCCCCCAGCCAGCCCTCGCACTCAGGCCAACCAGGCCAGGCCTTTGGATTGGCCAGGCTGGGGCAGGGGAACAGGGGCCGTGGCTCCGGTGGCAAGTGGCCAGGGGTGGGAAAATCTGAGGGCCTACTGTTCCCCTAGGTGGGTGGGAAAGAGCAGGGGACAGATGAGCCACTTCAAAACCGGCTCTTTTCAAAGTGGCGAAGTGGTGACTGGAGCTGCTGTAAGTGGGTCAGCCTTCATGTGTATATTGCTCTTAAACTCTTTAAATGTGGTGTTAAGTATCTGTATCCTGTTTTCATTAGCTTGTAAGACGTGGTGATGGGGACCTGCCCAGTTTTCTGAAGCAGCAAGTGTATCTAGAGGCTAATAAACAGCAGGTGCCTCCAACAAATAGGACTTTAATACTCCATGTAAATGTGAGCACTAATACATATGTGGAACAAAAGGTGGAAGCTGTACTCTGCAGTCAAGTCACACAATTTTTTAGCTGTTTGATCTGAGAACAATAGTGTGCTTGTGTGTATGGTGTGTGTGTGTGCGTGTCACAGGATGTGCATATGACATGTGGAGTGTTTTTGTATGTGTTGTGAGGGGCAAAATGTTTGTGCGTGTGTGTGTGTTGGTTTGTGTATGTCTGTACGTGTGTTTAAATAGAAGACTCTACCACTAGACTTGGCTTTTAATTTTCTTTTTTTCTTTTTCTTTTCTTTTCTTTTTTTTTACATAGCCCAGACTGGCCTCGAACTTCCAGTGATCCTTCTGCCTCAGCCTCCAAAGCACTGCACCATCACACCAGGCCTCGGTTAAGCTTATTGAAGAGAAAGCCAGCTGTACAATTCCAGAGCCTGGTACAAAGCTCCAGTGTGGGTTCAGGTCTTGAGACGGCAGTGTCAGCACATCCAAGTCGCATGGCCACAAGCCTGGTCTTTGTTGGAGAAAGCTCACTTCTCTGCCGCCCTTCAACCCTTCTTTTTATGCTGAAAAGTTCGGGGTCCCCTTTGATCTCCCCAGCCAGCTGCTCAGGATGACTGTGGCCTCCGCAGAATGAGGTGGCCAGAGGCCGCCTGGACAGGAGCTGCAGAGGGGACCTTCACATTGCCAGGGCTGGTCTCCCATTCCCTGAGCCTCTTCTTGTTCCAGGCGGGCCATAGAAGGGAACTGAAGCTCAGGAGGTGTCACTTAGGAGGTCAGGTGTCCTTAGAAGTTCAGGTTGCTGTTGGCTCACCACTCCCCACCCTGCAGAATGGGGCCCTGCCCCACCTGCCAGGACTTCAAAGGTGTCATGCTCCCCTCTGAGCTACTATTGTATTCCCCAGAAGGGATGGGCCAGCAGGAACCACCAAAGTGGCTTAACTGTCCCTACTACCCCCAAGTCTTCTACTCTCAGGGCACCATAGGGCCCTGCCCTGGGCTTGGGCCAATTTGTTCAAATCTCCTGGAGGAGTAGAAATCCAAAGAGGACCCAGGAAGCAGAAGCAGAACAGGGCAGGAGGACCTCACAGCCTGGAAACCTCTGTGAAAGGGTGTGAAGGGTGGGGACCTCCTAAATCCTTCCTGTTTATTGTCCTGGTTTGCCTCCTCTCAGGTCAAGTTCAGTGTGCTGCTCCGGAGCACACTCAAGAGATGCCAATGGGTGATAATGAGGGTGTCCCACCCATAGCCTATACCTGTCAATAACCAGCTCTGGGACGAGGCTTTGGCTCCCGCACTGCCCCACCTGGCTGAGCTCATCAGCGTACCTGTCAAAGCCATTCCAAGGTCACTGAGTACTTCTAGAGTGTTCCAGGTGTAGCACCTTTCAAGGACAAAGGGACCCTGGGAATGTACCTTTTCCATGCTCCTGATCTTAGCCAGTGATGAGCCCCTAAGCCCAGCTGGCTGGTAGCCATGAGATCCAGTGTGAAACAGGTGTGGCTGGAGGGCCTCCTTTGTGGATGGCCACCCACCCCAAGTCACAGATGGTGGGGGAGTCGGAGGGCCAGATAGGTTCTAGGTCCCCAATTTGCAAGGTCACTTGGGTCCAAGCAGTTGAGACTGGTATGAACTTATTAATCACTGGCAGGAGGGGAAGGGTACAGTTGTAACCCAAGTCCCAATACTGTTGATAAATGGACGGTCCAGAAAACAAAAACAAAACCCTCGTGATTTAGCATTTGCCAATTTCTGTGGTATAGAGTCTCATCAAGTCCAATTTCAAGCTACCAGCTGGCTTAGCAATTGGCTCAAAAAAAAAAAAAAAAAATTCCTGAATATTTAATCATCTGTTCTTGCTTAACTCTGCTCATCAGAGGCCACCAACGGCATAGCCTCAGAATGTAGGGTCTGCCCCTCGGGCCCGGTGGTGCTCTACTTCTTAGTCTTATCCTGTCCCAGGAATGGCTTGGGACCTGTGGTAAGCCATGAAGCTCGTGTGCTGGAGGAAGGGCTGGTCTGCCTCATAGGTTGTCATGATGCTCAGTGAGGAAAAGAGTGTGGAACAACTGCCAAAGAGAACTCCGGGCCCAAGTAAATGCATCCCTTGGGACACCTACCTCTTTCTTTCTTTCTTTTTAATTTTATTTTATTTATTTTTATTTATTTATTTTTTTTTTTTTGGCGGAACCGGGGATTGAACTCAGATCCTTGCATTTGCCAGTCAAGTGCTTATCCTACTGAGCCATCTCCCCGGCCATACCTCTTTCTAAGGGCAATGGGGAGCTCTGACCTTAATCAACACAGGACTGATGGTTTGAAGAATCAGTCTGGAACACTGGCAGACCTGTGTGTCTGCTGACAAGCCCTGACTTTTCTCCCCTCCCTGTTCACATGTTAGCCTCCTTGCTTCAGGAAGCAGGTGTGCAAGGTGACAGGAGCTAGAGAGCCAGAAACACAGGGTCAGCTGCCCAGGCCGAGGCACTGCGCCCATGCAAGGCCTCCCAGAGTATCCCCAAAGTCCACTTGCAGAAGGGGCTTTCTGGTTTTGCAGATGGCTGGGTCATCTTTCCAGATACAGGTTTCTCCTTGTGTCATCTTCTGAAAAAAGTCCTGCTCTTGACACCTTTCCTGTGTCCCCTCCTCTGGATCCTGGAATGCCACCGAGGCCCCACCTTAGCCACGCAGCGCTGACGAGAGGTGCTGACCCAACTGCTTCTCTGCTGGCTCACCTTGTCAGGTGGTAGGTGCCAGAGAGACCTGCAGGGCTGAGGACTTTGTAATGTGGTTGGGGACCTCAGGGTCACCAGAGGTAGGACTAGGTCAGGTCCTTCTGGGATCCAGCCAGGTGCTGGGTGATGAATGGCATAAAGATCTAGAGAGGAACAGGCTGTTGGCCAGGAAAAACAACCCCAGAGCCACAGGTGTGCCACCAAGCCTTCTCTTTCGCTGTCCCTAGTCCCTCCTATTCGGTGACAGCACATAGCCGGGCCTCAAGCGCAGCAGAGAGTACTGCCTGGGCCTCAGAGTAAGCTTCTATGAAGGCTGGAGACAATCACAAGTGCCAGGTTTGTGGCCCCAGGCTGCTTTGTCCTGAGATGGACTGGTGAGCAAATGATCCAAGCACACTGTGACACAAGGCCAGCCAGAAGCATGTGCACATGGGGCCAGGTAGAAGGGATCACCGAGGAAGTAACTCTTGAGCAGTATCAGAAAAGTGGGTCCCCCTGCCAGCCCCAATCTCTCAGCACAGGCCTAACTCAGGCCTCTAGACCCTGGGTGCATGGAAGCACTCTGTGGCCACCTGTGACATGTATAGGCCTGTCCCCCACCACTCTAGTAGAGGGTCACACATCTTCCTCCAGGCAAGCCCTTCATCCTTCCCTGCCTTCGGAAGCAGCACCACCATGCAGTGAGCAAGACATGAGATTCCCAGGTTGGTCCTTCCATAAATGATCAGCCTGGGGTGGGAAGGGAGGGGCTGCAGTGCCTGGGAAGGGGCTTTGGGAACAGTCCCTAGAGTCTCTAAAAAATAGAGGGCCAGGCAGGGAGGAGAAAGCACTCCAAGCATCAAGCACAAGGCCTTCTCAGAGTTGGAGCCAGATCCTGGAGTCTAGCATTCACGCCCAGAAGTTCAAGATCCACACCGGTTCAAGGCCCTTTCAGTCTAGAGGAGATCCCTCAGGCCCAAGCCCAGCCTCAGACGTTCAGGCTGACTTTGATTTAGGAGTGACCACAGAGGAAAATGACAACAGTAACTGAGTTCATATAAGACTCTGCGTGTGTGTGTGTGTGTGTGTGTACTCACAAATTATTTCTGTGTATTCTTGATTCTGGGAACCCCCTTGTCTTTTCTCCAGTGAATCTCACAGGACCCCATACTTATTTAGAATGTGGGGGACACCTGCTCAGCTCCCAGCACATGCTCAGTAAGTGCGAACTGTGCAGATCTTAGGCCGGAGGGGCTTTCCCAGCCCAAAACTGATGATAGTCTGGTCCCAACCTGCCCTGTCCTTCTCTGGCGGGTGATAAACACTTGAATGTCATAACACCTTCTGTGTCCTCACCTGGGCTATCCCTGGGACACAGCTGGGTATCAGGGTAGCCCCTTCCCCCACTAAGACTGGTCATTCCTTCAACGTGGGCTGGCCTCTGTCAGTCCTGAGGACAGATGTAGAAGGGTGAGGCACCCATCCTGCTAGTCAGGCAGGATGCTGGTGGGAGGGCGGGCCGAGCAGGGGTGGAGCTTCCAGAACAAAGGAGAATGAGTAGCCCTGGGGGGCCAGACTAGGCATCAAAAAGGCTCTGCAGAGTGCACAGGCCACACAGCCTCCTGCCTCTGCACTGGCCGACAGCCACACAGTGCTCGCTTGCTCCCTTCTGCTTGCCCGGCCGGGTAAGTAAACAGCACCCTGCTTCAAGAGGCCCTGTTCTCCATCGTGATTGCGCCAACACTGCTCTGTGGCTGTCTCTACTTGGCGTGGGTTGCTGCTGAACTTCCAGAGGTGAGCAGAGCCATGGCTGCAAGCAGAGCCAGGAGCCAAGAGGGCCGCCGGGAACATGTCTTTGTCCCAGAGTCTTTCAATGGGGCCAACAGAGACCCCAGCATTTGGCTGCACCGCTTTGAGGTCATTGACAACCTGAACAAGTGGGACAATGCTACCAAGCTCAGGTTCCTCAAAGAGTCGCTCCAAGGAGATGCCCTGGAAGTCTACAACAAACTTAGTGTCCAGGACCAGAGAGACTATGGGAAAGTGAAGGAGGCCCTCCTGAAGGCTTTTGGAGGGCCTGGGGCTGCACGCAGCCAGCCCAAAGAGATCTTGTTTGCCAACAGCATGGGTAAGGGCTACTACCTCAAAGGGAAGATTGGCAAAGTGCCTGTGAGGTTCCTGGTGGACTCTGGGGCCCAGGTCTCTGTGGTCCACCCGAGCTTGTGGGAGGAGGTCACTGATGGTGACCTGGATACCCTCCGGCCCTTTGAGAATGTGGTGAAGGTGGCCAACGGAGCTGAAATGAAGATCCTGGGTGTCTGGGATACAGTGGTGTCCCTGGGCAAGCTGAAGCTGAAGGCCCAGTTCCTGGTGGCCAACGCGAGTGCCGAAGAAGCCATCATCGGCACCGACGTGCTGCAGGACCACAACGCCGTCCTGGACTTCGAGCACCGCACGTGCACCCTGAAAGGAAAGAAGTTCCGCCTCCTGCCCGTCGGGGGATCCCTGGAAGATGAGTTCGACCTAGAGCTCATCGAGGAGGAGCCCACACAGGAGGGGCAGCAGCTGTCCTGTTAATAAGCCCCCTTTTCCTTGCCCCCCAAATGGTTGGGAGACCTACAAATGTGGGGGGCACATAGTCTCAGGGAAGTTGCTGGGTTTGGGCCAACTGTAAATCCAATACTCTTTTGCCACTTGCTTCCCTCCTCAGGGGCCACGGTCCACCCCTGGTGGGGGAGGCATGGTGGGAACCTGCACAGGGAGAGAGAGCAGGCTGGCATGCTTAGAGAGGGGTTTCTGTGGTCATCAAGCCACTGTTGGTGGCACCGACTTGAAGGCTGGAAGAAGCTTCCAAGAAGGTTTGGAATGTCTGTCTGTGAGAGAGGACTGTGGGACCCTTGCTGATCCCTTGAGGTGGTGTAGCTGGCTGTGTGACCTCCAGGTCCAGCTGGGCTGGGTCCTGGTTGCAGCCCTTCGAGCCAGGTCCTGCTCTCCTGCTGGAGTGGCAGCTGCTCTGAGATGCCCCCGGCTGGTCTTCCCACTTGCGTAATGATATTTCCTTCTGTCATTTGCTTTGAAAACCAGCTTTATGCCAATAATTCAATTACTTTAAAACCAATAAATATCAGTTCATGGAAAAACCATGTAATGTGCTGATTGGGAGTGAATGGAATGCATGTGAGAGGGTGGAGAAGACAGTAAGTATCAAAGCAGAGGAAGACTCACGTTATTTACTGGGTGGATGTATACAGTGACTACATGTTTTAGATTTTTAAAAGCAGCCTTGGTTTAAAATATTTTGACTCATTTCCTTTGTAATTCCTCTCATTGTTCTGATCTAGCTGCAATTCTTGTATTTCAATCTATAGGAGTTTAGCATCCAAATTACCCCTTTTACCAAAAGTGGTTTTAAGGCTACTAGGGAGATTGGGATTGAGGAATATAGGTATTGTGGAGGAATGAAAAAGTGTCTGGGAAGAAAGTGGGTTCTCAGAGCTGCCCTGGGTGCCAGGACTTGGAAGGAGAAAACAAGTCCTGGAGACAAGTGTTGACTTGCATGGGGCAGCCCAAGGCGAGGAGTTCTGGGGACAGAGGAGGAAGTGGCAGTGGGGGTCTCAGGCAGCTGGGGGCGGACCTCTGGCTAGTGGAGAGCAGCTTCTACCTGGGGGAGGTTTGGAATGGGGCCAAAACTAGAGAGACTGGGTGAGGGGGAGGATGTGCCCCATCCGGGAATGTTCACCACTTCGGGGACCCACCTCCTACTTGTTTCCAAGTCCCGCCTCTCTCTTGGGACTCACAGAGGCTGAGAACCTGGAAACTACTCAAGCCAGAGGAGACCTGCATGCACAGCGCTCTCCAGAGAGGAGCGTATTTGCTCCAAACCCTGGGCAGCCCCTTCAAATACACAGGGTTGCTGGTCCTTAGAAGAAGAGCTACTCCAAGCTGACCTCAGGCCCAGGAAGACCCGTGCAAGACCAGAGATCCCAACATATGGGGACCAGCAGGGAGATGGGGCACAGAGCTTTGAGGCCCTGTCATGTGAAGTGTGAAGGCCTGTTTCTCCAGAGCAGAGACAGGCCTCTGGGATTCACTGGCCTCCTCCCAGCAGAGACAGGCAGTCTGGGCAGTAGACAGGAGGAGGCGAGGCGAACCTTATTCTTGAGGAGAGAGACACTGGGTCTTTGAGGCCTCTGGAGTGCTTTTGCCTCTGCTGCACTCCTGGTTCCCTTTCTCCTTCAGATCTCAAAGATGGTTCTCCTGGGATCCAGGGCATTTATTGAAGTCTTGTCCCTGGGTCTCCTTGCCCCTCCCTCCAGGTCCCATGTCCCCTTCCCAAACTCACTTTCCAGCCTCCCCTTCTGCTGGCCTTACAGGTACTTCCCCCCTCCTGAGCCAAGCCCTCTCTCCAGGGTGTACCCAGGTGGCACCTCCCTGTGACCTATTTTCCTCTAGATTTTGGATTCTAAACACTGGGCTGAAGGAGGGCAGGTGAAGAGTGGGTGGATGGGGAGTGGAAGGGACAGGGGAATTGGGCAGCTGGGTTACAGTTGCAGGGCAACACCCAAGCCTCCTCTCTCCTTCAGCAGCAGGCCAAGCCTGGTCCTGGGTAAACCCCAGTGGGTGCCTGGGCAGATGATACTCTTTTACCCAGCTTCTGAGTGAGGAAGAACTGTGAGCCAGCAGGCTTTCCACCACGGAGCGGGACTGGCTACCCGCGTGGGCCCAGCCAGAGAAAGATGTGACGTCTGCGAAATGGCCCCTCGTGATGATGCTGCTGACCCAGAGAACCAAGCGAGACAAGGCAGGTGCCTTGTGGGTGTGAGGGTGATCACAAATGCAGATGTGCGCTCCGTTGTGATCTGCTGCGCTCCGGGGAGTGTCACCTGGAAAGCCCAGGAGACAGGGTTTCTGTCACACCGCCGAGAGCCTGCTGCCCGGGGGAGGGCCCGCACTGGATTGGCGGTGGGTGGGCTTCGGAAAGGTGGAGGGTGCAAGGCTCCGTGGAGCGACCAGCGGCGCGGAAGCTAGCCTGAAAGCTAGCCTGAAAGCTAGCCTGGAAGCTCAGGCAGTATTGCGAGATAGTGTTTGACTTCGAAAAGTCGGAAAGAGCTCAGGTAAAAGACCGAGATAAAGCCTGAATCCTAGGATCACATAGGAAGATCAATTACAGACTAGCACCTCGGTGGTCCCAACGTGCAGCCAGGAGTGGGAATTCTGGACTGAGCTCCACAGTCACTGCCGACTGGCAGCGACCCCACAGCGACCCCGGCCCCAGACAGGGAAACCCAGCATCTCCTGCACGCGAGGGAAATGTAGACTCAGGCCCCCACAAAATGTCAAAGCCATGCAAACAAAGATAGATTGAGAAATTGTTCAGATGAAAGGACACCATAGAGACTAGACCACTTAGCGCAACTTGTAGCTGCAAATTTGATCTAGGACTAGAAAATATTTCCTTGCTATAAAGATTATAGGGATAGGGCCACCAAATTGCTCAGCAGATTACAGCGTCTGCTTAGGCAGATACAGGGCCCAGGAGTTCAATTCCCTGGCCTGTCATGCCCGCCCTGCCCCCAGGGCACACTGAGATGGGCGACTGAGACTGGGCATGGCGGCAGGTGCCTGTAATCCCAGCACTTGGGAGGCTGTAAACAGGAGGATCACTATGAGTCGGATCTATGCAGTGAGACCCTGTAGACACTGTCCTAAAATAAAAAAATAAAAAAATAAATTATAGGGATAACTGAGAAAACTTGAACAAGGTCTGAAGGATAACAGTAGTAGTATAACATCAGTGTTGATTTTCTGTTTGTTTTTTGTTTGTTTTGTTTTTGGCGGAACCAGGATTGAACTCAGGCCCTTGCACTTGCCAGGCAAGTGCTTATTCTACTGAGCCATCTCCCCAGGACCAGATTTTCTGGTTTTGATCATTGTGCTATGGCTGCATAAGAGAATATTGCTGCCTTTTGGAAACAAACATGGAACAGTTAGATGTAAATGTATATCGTTTTTGCCATTTTCAAATGATTCATCTGCATGCAGATAAAGAAGAGGAGTGGGAAAATGGTGAAGTTGATTAAATATTAATATTTGTGAAAACTGGGCGAAACAAATTTCTTGTTCTACTCTTACAATTTTTCTGTAAATCAGAAATGTTTTCAAAACAAATATTTAAAAATAAAATAACTACTAAAAACCTGAGGAGTGGCGAGTGCATGGCAGTCACCATTAGGAAAGGAGTGCATCCTGTTGGGACAGGACTTGCCGCTGCACAACCAGGTCCAGGCCAGGGCTTTTCAATCTTGTGCTCACGGGAGCATCGCCCAGGGACCTTGCTCTGAGAGTCCTGAAGAGTCTACATTTCCGCCAACATTCTCTTGTGCAGCCATAGTACAATGATCAAAACCAGAAAATCTGGGCCCAGGGAGATGGCTCAGTAGAATAAGCACTTGCCTTGCAAGTGCAAGGACCTGAGTTCAATCCTGGTTCCGCCAAAAACAAAACAAACAAAAAAACCCCCAGAAAATCAACACTGATGTTATACAACTACTGTTATCCTTCAGACCTTGTTCAAGTTTTCTCAGTTATCCCTATAATTTATGTTTTTATTTTTTTATTTTAGAACAGTGTCTACAGGGTCTCACTGCATAGATCCGACTCATAGTGATCCTCCTGTTTACAGCCTCCCAAGTGCTGGGATTACAGGCACCTGCCGCCATGCCCAGTCTCAGTCGCCCATCTCAGTGTGCCCTGGGGGCAGGGCGGGCATGGCAGGCCAGGGAATTGAACTCCTGGGCCCTGTATCTGCCTAAGCAGGTGCTTTAATCTGCTGAGCAATTTGGTAGCCCTATCCCTATAATCTTTATAGCAAGGAAATATTTTCTAGTCCTAGATCAAATTTGCAGCTACAAGTTGTGCTAAGTGGTCCAGTCTCTATGGTGTCCTTTCATCGGAACAGTTCCTCAATCTATCTTTGTTTGCATGGCTTTGACATTTTGTGGGAGACTTATCTGGTTATTTTGTGGAATGTTCTTCAGTCTCGGTGAATCTGATGTTTTCTCATGATTATATTTGGTTTTTGCATTTTGGGCAAAAACACTCTGAAGAGACGGTGTCCCCTCACACTGCACCCTTGGGCACTGGAGGCTGACTGGTTCCATGGCTGGTGACGTGTGCTGTAGCCACTCTGCCAGAGTGCTTTCTGCTGGGTTTCTCACTGTACTATAACTATTTTTCTTCATGTCTTGTGGGGAGACAATCTGAGACAACAGCAATTACTCAGGCTGGGGAGATGGCTCAGTGGAATAAGCACTTCCCTGGTCTGAGTTCAATCCCTGGTTCCACAAAAAAAAAAAAAAAAAAAAAAA